TTCTGAGAAACGATAGGATAGAGAAAAATTAACAGTTTGTTCGTAAAAGCGTCATATTAGAATTTTAATCTATCGAACGTGGGCTATTGAGCAGGAGGAAGCCTGGAAACTAGGTTGCAGGTGTGTTTTGATGACATATGCGATGTAAAGTTTCTGGACCGAGAATACTTTCACCAGTTTGACGTAAAGATGAATTCCTTAATTAGCTTCCACCAGCATCCACGTAAATATGGTGATATGCGAAAAATGCTGAAAAATCGCCATAAATGAACATAATTTCTGTAAAAAAGAATACACGCATTCGTTAACAGTAAACTCCCCTGAACTTAACAGCGTAAGGTACAACTCATATCGCAACTTAACTCTAATTCACGTTGTTTGATCAGTCCCTGCAAAAGTCTTCTTGACTGTAACGTTTTCAATTTGATCTATTTTGACTGATCACGATCTTTTTGGATCCGACGTTGAGCAAGATTGATCGTACACGGTTTTTGCAGTGGTTTAAAAAATACCGATGAATTTTCGCTTTCTGTTGTGAGCCTGGCACTGGTAAGCCACATTAGTTCCGTAGTTTCGATAAAAGCGGGGAAAAGGTAGTCCTCCGGAGGTACTGCCGTTTTTCCGAAAAAATTTCCACCGGAATAAACCGTTTCTTTTGAATTCTCACCGAAATTACTGGGTTTTCGATACAAATGGTAAGCGCTGAACGGACTCTCTCTTCCCAGCACCCCGCCCGTTTTTTGCATCAGTTTGATTGACGCAAATCTCTGCACATTACTAGCCGGAAAAGGCTAATCGCAGTTGTGTTCATCGACCACACCAACTGTAATTCTCAATCCTGAAGACAGCTACTAGTGGATGAGAGATAAAAAGTGTGTGATAAGAGCGTCTCAATTGGGTTAACCGTTGGCCTGCCCTGGGTACCAGAGGTTTTTTTTCCTCACGTGCGGCGCCGCCTCAGAGTTGGCCGCAGGATTCAATTTTAAATTTTATTTCTATTTGACTTGTCTCTTGTAGATTTTTTTTAAACCTACATTACAATATTACATCATCCCATCCATTAAATAACAATATATAATCGGGCAAAGCTCTATAGGTCTGTCATCTTCATTACCTACCCTCTACTGTAAGTTTACGTTTTACTAAACTTCGGAAGAAATTAAGACGGAATCCACCAGGAAATTGAGTAATATTGATTTTCAGTGGACAAAAATCTTGTACCAGAATAATTTAAAGACGCATATTGCATTCTTTCTTACATTTTTCAAGGGCTAAAGATGTAATAAATCATCTGTAGTAACAACAACACATGAAATTTTCAGAATTTTACCTGTGTAATCACAATTCTTGTGAAATTTGACATTCATTTTCTCTGACTTCCATGAGAAATTTTCTTTGGTGTTACTAAAGATGATTTATTACATCTTAAGCCCTTGAAAAATGTAAAAAAGAATGCAATATTTTTTACATTATTCTGGTACAAGGTTTTTGTCCACTGAAAATTAAAATTACTCAATTTCCTAGTGGATTCCGTCTTAAATAAACTTGATAACTGGGTCCCTCGTCTTGTTCTGCCCAGCGGCCAGCCCGGTCTTTGCTATCGTAGTTTTTATATCTATAACCATAGTTATATTGAACAAATTCAACAACAATTCTCCGTCCTCTTATCACGTTTGCACAAGATGTTGTTTAAGTGTTTTTCTACGTAAGACCTTTCAGTATAGTTCAATTCAAGATTATTCGTGGACTCATTTGCAGATCTCAACTGTCAAAGGATATTATAGATAGACTGGTCAATTCGTTTTCGATTTTTAGTTTCACTTTTGTTTGTTGACGATAATGACAATCATGAAAACATTTCCATTTTCGCTCCTGGATATCGTCTTTCCCTCAAATTTGTGGAATTGTCACGCTTTGGGGTGTTCTTCGGACTCTTCTTAACTTATGAGCCAGGTCTGAACCGAGCTAGGGTGGTTTCCAAGAACTTGCCCTCATTACGTCAACAGCCCTGGTTTGGACTCATATCAAAAGGCCGGCTTGGGTCTTTTGTTTTGCTTGCTACGGCGGTACGATGTTATAATACATGGTCAGAACAATACTGAATCTTTTGTGTATAACCCAAAGAGATCTCAATTTTAAACTTTTACGGAACATTGGCCTTATACAGTGGTAACTCTCTCTTCACGGACTGAGCGGGCAGCTCCACTTACGGCTGCCTTGACAAAACCTGGAGAATTTGGAAAGCAGTGACCAGCAACCACTCCATCTCGCTTAAGGGAGCTTAAATTATACTAGGTTATGTCTCTGCCATTGATGAATCATCTGCTAATTACGACTGATTATAGTTATATCAGTTTCAAAACCATTGGCACAGTCCGCCCACAAATCCGATCATTGATGTAAAACGACCTTCATCTTGTGGCGTCAAGTTTGCTTTTATTTGGTTATTTTGCTGGCATATCCGCAACATTTAATGTCATTCAAAGATATTTCATTGTTAACAAGCAGGAATGATTGGTGAATCTTCAGATACGTCACCAGACGAAGATGGGGAGTAGGGTTCTTTTTCTTCTTCATTGTCTGTTATCCTTTCATATTCACTTGCTTTGTTGACCATCAACCCCTTCTTTTTGAACATGGAGTGGTCTTTAAGACAGCTACAAGAAACAACATTAGTCACGAGTTATAACTGATGAGTAGTGCATTATGCAATCCGAACATGCATAAAACTTAACCTATTTACACAATGCATACTACGGTTATAGAACTTGAAGTATAAAATAATGAGCTATTACAGAGCTCAGACTAAAACTCTGACACGACCAGAACTCAACCTACAGTTTACACTGCAGCTAAGATCTTCAAAAAGTCAGAAAAGGTAGAAAAAAAGTGATAGTATATAAACAAAATAGACAGTATCAATAGCTACCATGATAGTATATTTAACAATTATTTCACGAGTGCGCGTTGGATATGAGATGGAAGAAAGCCAACGAGGCCCTTATCATCTCATAACCAACAAGCGCGAGTGGAATAATTGATTTATTAAAAACGCCCACAAAATATCAAATTCTTCCGAATTAATTTGTAAAAAAACCCCGATTTTCAGCTTGTTTTTAATTTTGAGGAGGCACGCACAGTTACCTTACTTGGAGAGCATGGTATAATAGCTCATATACCAAGATGGCTAAGCCAATCAGAGCTCTAGAACTGCATCATTCCAATGACTCAGTTTTTAATAAAAAGAAAGTAGACAGTTATATATTGCTACCAACCATTCCGAAATCTGCGGCATTTCACTTCAAAATGAACTATCTAAAATAGTAAAAATCAGAATGTGGTGCTTTGTTCAAGTTTGTCGCTTCCACCTCAAATTTCACATGGTAATCCGGCGTGCACCAAAAAGTGTGTTTGCCGTGCAAAATTGTTGTTCATCTTACTAAACCTATTGTTTTTTTTTCGTGGGTTGCTATAAAGCTTCCTAATATAAATATTATGATTCAGCCAGTGAACTTACAAGGTAAAAGCAAAAGGCAATAGCAGAAAAATGCCCGCTAAAAACAAAACGAATCCAGGAGCATTGAACTTCAATGATTTTGGATACAATGAGTTCAACATGGCGGTTCCAACCAATGTGCAAAGCATCTCAACTGAAGAAACAGCGGAGAACAGCGAGCCTGAAAAGGATAAGAAAACATATCTAACACGAATATAAAAGAGTTTTTCACAACTTGCAACCAGCATAAAATACCACAAGGTTAGAATGTTTTTCCTCCTCAATATATCATTACAGTAGCACCTTTTCCCTCAAAATTGGTTTGCCTTAGTAGTAAACAGCAAAATATTGCAAGCTTTGCCCATTTTTTCTCCATTTAGACTACCGTGAAGGAAAACAAATTGTGACGGAAAACTTGCTAAGTGCAACTACGATTTTTGGGCCTGAGAGAGGATCTCTCTTTGCCACCTTCCCACTACGCACCACGCGCTACTTTATAATCATCAGAGACACGCCTAGGAACGAGTTATTGACAAAGAAACCAGTAATCACGCTTTATCAGCAAAGTAACCAATCTGCTGGAGGTAACAGTTAATATTTTCGAGTTTTTGACGTCCATTACGTCATTTCCATGGTCTCTTATCGACCGAGTACTCGACAAACCAGCGCGCGATCGGTCGATTGGAATGTGGAGGTAAAGGGTATAATTGGTATAAGATGACGCAAGGAGAATTTTGATCCATTTTATCTTCCGTTGCTTAGAGTAAGTTTACCTTGATCATCCGAGCTGACAATCTTTGACATCATTGCTCTTATTACTGGGGGTCCTGCACCGCCAAATATACCAACGATGGGACCTGACAGAAAAAAAAATGTACTCAATCCCATGCACTAACGTTTTACCATAAATCCTCTATTAATATAGGTAATAACATGATTTGTAGTGATATTTGGCATAAATACCACAAGTGATATTTCGAAATTGCCCGCTACACTGCTTTTGTTTGGATGCCATGCAATGACGTGAAAGAAATGTACTTTTTTACGTTCTCCTTTCGTCGCCGTCGTTATTGCTTAAGATCTCTAATTCCCGGGACCTTTCAAAGCATTATTTTTAAAACAAGATAAACGGTATTTGGCTTATCAGATGACGGTACAATTATTGCAAAAGGAAGGCCGCCAGTTAGTTTAGATCTCTTTTACAAAAGCGATCTTTAGATTAGAGGACAAGGGCGACCGCGAGGACGAGATGGAACTTAAAGTTATTTCGCGCACTCTCAAAAAACATATACTTCCCGGAAAGCTATATCGTACTTTTTGTCAATAAAAAAGTAAGCGTTATACGTTATATTTTTTTGAAGGAAGTTTAGCCCTCTCCTGATCCCAAACTATGATGGTGAACCCGCAGTAAAACGACGAAGCTGGTTCAAAAGGGGCGCACTACTTAGTGTTGAGAAAGTTACGTCCTCGTTTTCGTCCTCGTCTTAGAATCTAGGTAGAGCCCTTTTAAAGTCTTAAAAAACACTTACTGAGAAAAACCAAGAGAAGCGTTTCGGAAAATCCAAGCATCACCAAGAAGCCTAAATACGACAACAAAGCGATACGTGCGACATTGACATCAGCAAGACACATTCCAAAGGCTTTGATAGCAGTAACTCCACCTGCGCCGTGCATGAATTGACGGAACGCTGAGAAATAGCCCACGTATTCGGGCGTGAAGCAGAGCGGCGAATGTAGCGTGTAAAGATTCATGACACTGCTGGTGCTCATCACAGCTATGTCTGTTATACCAACACTTGCTGTCAGGATAACTAGATTTCGTTTTCTAAAACCTGAGGCTTCGCGGTAAACTCTCCAAGAGGACTTAAAGTTGTCAAGGCTGAACAGTTTTCCTCTTTCTACGGTGGACTCGAGTCTTGATTCAGGCACGATGAATACTGCATACAGCAGAGAGGTCACGTGACACCCCAATATGAACCAGAAGGGTGGAGTGAATCCCAGTTTCTCAATCCACAAGCCACTCGATAGCTGAGCGACCATGCCTCCTAGAAATATGATGAGTTCTATAATACCTGCCATCAACAAAAAAGGGATTGTTAATAGGGGGCTTAAGCAACAAGGCCAATTTGTGTAAAAAAATATATGTACATGTCGCGGTTTAATTTTATCCTTGGTTTAAATCTTATTATTTGGGTGTCGCCCAAATAAAGTAATCGAGTTCGTTTGTTTTGATTCAAAGTTGCAATAGGCACGCAATACGTGCGAACGTAAACAGGCCAAGCGACGCGAATGTCTGCCTCGCGCTGTCAAAATTCCATGATTTCGTGCATGAGATAATTGTTAAAGGGTAACATTGAATGATGCATAATTTCATTGCAAATTTTCGGAAAGGAGGTGATTTCTTAAAATCTTACGAGCAAAATGACCTCGTCAACAAGTTGCATTCTTTCACGATCGAACCGTAAAAGGGGCAGAGTCCAACATCTTTAAGTACAAACCGCGTTCTATTATTAAAATCCTTGGGTAATTAGATTAAGTCGTATTCTCTCATACACGAACCACACGATAGTCTTCCTAGTAGCCGTTTTTAGTATCGTCACGCAACGCTCCTCCCCACAAACGGCTGCTCACATTCAAACAACATTCCTTTCCATTTGTAGTCTTTGCGCCAATCAGATCACTGACATTGTTTAGTATGTGACCACTCAAATCACAGAATATTGTAAACAACGTGGTTTTTCCCGCGTTCTGAAATTCTCAAGTTCTCGAGGAGGAGCGTTGCGTTAACGATACTAAAAACGGCTGCGAGGGAGACTAACCACACGAAAGTGGCAAATTCCAAAGCTTTCACGTGCAAAGTGCGTGACAATACAACTCACAGTAAGGGCCTCATCACATAAGCGGGGAAGCAATGCGCATGAACAGTGTGTTACCCGCTGTCCTGTTTATTGCTTGGTTCATTCTCCGGGCCGCCCGGCAAGCGTGATTCCTTGGAAAATTTCCACTCCAGATCCCGGCATCACAATACTGGGATCCCAGCTAACCGGGCTGGCTCGGTTGTCATATTATCGCAAAGTTGATTTTTGTTGGGTTTAACTAAGGCGCCGAGATCTCTGCAAAGCGAGCCAGCCCAGCTCATGTAATTAGGCCCTTAGTTCTATAGCCAGATTTTACGCCCTCCCCTTGACCTCACAGATTTTTCAAAGCCCCCGAGCACACACACAAAACTTCAGCCCCCACCCCTCAACATCTTCATACCCCCTTCTCTATACTAAATGAACTTTTGGCCTTATCCATGTTCTCTCCATACAAATATTAACAAAATAAGCGAAAAACAGTCCTAAACAAAAAGTCCAACCATGTTTAAAATAAGTGAAAACATGTTCTCGACTATTGATAAGACTTTTCACAACCACCACTTCATTTCAACACACTGTAACTACCCTATCCCTTCATAACCAAATAGTAAAATTTACGACCAAGGATAAAACTGAACCACAACATATATATGCGATTTTAAAAAAAATCGGATTCGGGTGGGTGTGGTATGAATAGTGATTCAGCGTGATCTCGCGTGATCTTGCGTCCCAGTTAACAAGGTGAGTTAAGTGATGACCTTTTCTTATCGGTCTGACAGCAGTCCGTTTCACCCATCTTCACGAAAGAGAGGGCAATGGGAAAGTAAATCGCCATTAGTGATAAATACATTGATCAAAATCGAAAATTTAAAATTTTCTTTCCAGGTTGAAACACTTTTTAAGTAAGTATCAGGATTTGCATCTTCTCTTATTTTTGCATTGAGTCATTCATCCTATCAGATAGTTACCACTCATTAATTATTTCCTCTACATGTTTAATGTTGGGAGAATATCCTTTTTAAATTTGGAATTGCTGCACATCAAGACACTGCTGACCACATAAGCAGAGGGAACTTCACTTACTCAGTCTCAAGGCAATTTGTGTTTGATCTGTTGTGTCTGCGATATATGACATACAGGCCAGGATTATGGTTGTATAATATCCACAAAGTCCATGTAGAAAGGCACCAACAAACAAACAGTAAATAGGCAACTCAAAGATCATGACAATAAGTACACCTGCCGTATCCAGAACACCGCCCAGGACAGGTACAATGAGCGTTGGGCGTCGGCCGACCTTGTCTGACCAGCCTCCCATGAACAATGTTATGATGATGGATGGAAGAGCAGAAAACATCACAATGCCAAGTTGGACATAAGAGGCATATGTCTGTACCTGTTGTAAATAGCACCAGGGTCCAGCTGTTCAACAATTGGATAGCGCTATTCACTGGATAAATCTCTAAACAGTGGGTGACACAATTAATTTCCCTAATACCTTAATCCACTGGATATTTATCCAGTGCATAGTGCTATCCAATATTTGAACAATTGGGCCCAGATCATTATATTTCTTACAGATTTAACCTCAATTCCAGGGTTCTCTCCTACTTAATTTGTTGCTCTAGGGGATGGGCTGAAGAAAACCTTAGGAGGATGGTTCCTACGGTTTACTATGTAGAGTTATATTAATTTATCCAATGAAAGTTAGAGAGATTGTTAGAGAGAGTAACCAATAAGAAGTGTAGCATATTTTTGGATCCATTAATAATTATTTATTTGGTTGAATTGTTTGGTCTGCTGTGAGTAAGCAATTCTAGCCTGTGTAGCTGGTAGGTTTTTGGTGTGATTTTGGTTTTTGACAGTCAGCATGCTAGGTTAAATGAGAAAATAACTAGGTGAGGGGGCAAGGGGGTAAGATAACCTCCCTTCAACCCCTCCCCGATCGTTTTCTGGTGCGGCGACGGTTTGGCTTTTACATGGCTGTATCTGTTACTTTATGATCGAACCACCAAGAAAAAAAAACACACCAAAAAAATTGCTAGCTGTACAGGCTAATCAAAAGAGTAGTCCTTGCTCTCAACATAATTTATTTAACTAAGAGGTGACTGGTTATGAAAGGTGGCAAACATCAAAGAAAAGAAACAACGGTGCTACAGTAGTTTATGTCAGCTTGCTGACAGTGCACAATCCTTTGTTTTTTGTTCATAAATTTGTCCATGGAGCAATTAACCTGACATTATTAATAGCAAATAAGATCAAAATGATAGGAGTACTATAAAGTGCACAGGTCAAGCCCACAAAAACACATTAGGGTCTGACAGGCTTCATAATCATTCCACTCTATTAACTATGCTCTGGGCTTTTTTAACTTCACAACTGCAGAAGATCACGTGACTATATAATCAATGATAGTGATTGCATCTTTATGGGCTTTTTTGCAGAATATTGTCACATGGTACAAAAAAGACCTTGCTGGTTGGCAAACAACACAGCTTAGGGGCAAAAACAGAACAAAGAGGTAACAGCTGGGATTTCCCCTGGCTATTATAAATGTGGCCCCCAGCTACTTTCGTAAGAAAATAGAAGAAAAATAGAACCAAAAGAAATCCCTTGCTGTCTGATTCCCCGCCTACTTGTTGTATTTTATACCCGGCAACTTGAAATCTTAGTGACATCCCTGATCATTAAAAAAGCTATAATATACCCTCTTCTTTAACATTCCACTGCATTGTTTGCCATCCAGCAAGGTATTTTTTGTACCTTGTGACCGTAAACGTATTCTGCATTGTGCTGCACTCATTATCAACCAAAATGATCCAATTAGGAAGCAAAAAAGGCACGAGATCATAAACTAAGACAGTATAGCACCCCTCCCAATATTAAAAACTCCCCACTTATTTTTTTCACTTGGGTTTAAAATTTCAGTAAATTTTACCATGTTTAAACTAGAAATGCCCTATACAAGTCAAACTGTATAAATGTGTGTGAGCTGAGTGTTTTCTGACCCAAAACCGCTTTTGTATGACTCAACCCCCTGTGTAACTAGACTTGTAATGCTTATGACCCTAGCCAAGACATTTTGTTGTGTTAGTATTATGAGGTGTCATAAAAAGTGCTTTTTGCTCTTGAAGAAAACTGTAGTTAGATTTAAGTCTGTAAGATTTGTTCGCGATGAGGCATTAAAGTTATAATGTTACTGCTATCAAGAAGAGAAGTCGTTTTGGAGTTATAACAGAATAGTGCACTATCTTGGCATTATTAAAACTTAGCAGCAGGGTTCTACTATAAAACCTTAAAGATTATACCTCTTTTTCAAGCTTCTTCATTGTATCATTCAATTTTAAACCACAACCTGTGTCACCATCATCTTGTTGAAAGTGATATGGAAACCCTCTAGCCTCACTCAGTCTTTTGTATACATACTGCTGAGCTATCGGCATGCTCATAAAGAACCCAAATGCATAAAAAAACATGACTGGTTCCACTGTAAGCATCATCCTCCATGACAACCTTCTTGTTGTTGACATGGCAATGCAAGTGAGATTAACCTAACAGGATGAAAACAAAATTATAACCAGGTTAATCATGAAATAGAATAAAAAAATAATTATTAATCCCTGAGTGTCAAACTACTAAAGGCAGTAAATTGCTATAATAACAGAATGGCTAGTGTTAAGTCCACTCCAACGTTTTTTACAGGTGCTAATTGTTACACATTTGATAGGCTGAGTGTTATGTAGGAAATTAAAACACTCCATGACATCATCATCATCACTAAATCAGTCAGCCACATCCAAAAGGGGAGGGGGGTTGGGGTAAAAGCGAGCTGCTTTGAGTTTGAAACCCTGACCCGGTTTAGTGCAAAAAATATTCTACAATTCAGACACTGTTTAGGACAACAGTGTCAATTTTATTACCCCTGACTGTTTAAGACAAAGAACATAATGCACTCTGTCTTTGCCCAAAATTATATACCTTGTTTAGTACA